CATACCAACACTAGATGTTGTTCCAGCACTGTTGTGCTAGGGTTGCAGCCCCGCCGCCCGATTCCAACAACACCAGCCGCCGGCCCAATAGTGCCGCCGGTAGGTTCCAGCATTTGCCGTGCTGGGGTTGCAACACTCATGTAGGCCCTCATTCCAGCAACACCGGTCGTTGTTCCAGCAATGGCGTCGGCCAATTCCAGCAACGCTAGACGTCGTTCCAACATTGGTATCGACCAATCGTAGCAACGCCCCCCTCCCCCACCGTTCCAACATCGGCGTCGGCTAGTTTCAGCAACGCCAACACCGTTCCAACATTGCCGCTGCCCTCGTTCCAGCAACACCAGCCGCCGTTCCAAAGTATGTTTTGGTGATCCGCGTCGGAGTTGCCCTAGAGTACCCAGAGCGGTGTGTGGGCCCTATCGCGTAGCATGGGTGGCGAGGCGGCCAATCACGCACGAGATCGGTCAGCCGATTTGCAACGCTTTTTTTTTTGTATCCTAAAGCCAGGAGAAAGGAGGGAATTTCCTTTTAGCCTTACCTTTTTCTTGGTGCAACTAGACGGAAAACCTTGGCGCTGGTGACACCGGAAAGCAGGGATGGTATGAGGATATCCACGAGTTGGCGTCACCAGACTGTGAAAGTAAGCCGGGATTGGCTAGCTAATTAATCAACAACACAGGCCATGCTAACATGCTTTGCTTTTGAGTCGGCTTAATCAAGAGCATAGGCCATGCTTTGCTTTTGAGTCGGCGTCGGATAAAGGAGGGATAGGGATTATTCGGCGGAGAGATAATAATAAATAAATAAAGAGAAGTAAGGGATCATGCATGTTTCGAGGGGCCGTTGGACGGCGACGTGCGGAGGATGGGTCACCTGCCGTCGATTCGGTTTGACGAACTCGAAGCTGGGTTCGCACTCGCACCGTTGCGGTAGGCTGTCTCTCCGTAGGGTGAGTTTGGGTTTGAAGTTGCACCCAACACCACCACACGTCCACGTAAACTTTTTGAACGCGGTACAGACACAAGCGCTTATACATACGCGCATATATTCACCCCTATACACACACACGCATATCTTATTTCTATGAGCATCTTCAAAAAACTGAGCCGACATATCATCTTCAGATTTATTTCAGGATTGGTGGTGTGGCGAATGAGAACGCGCATCAAACAATCTTGATGTTTCGGCGACACGCGCAGCGACCGACGCCACGAATTAGAGGCTTCATCTTCATCCGACACTCGTTTAACGAACGGAATGACGGCGGACAACACACACACAAGCAAACTTAACCTGTCTCTTCTTTCCTCCTTTGCCGCGTGCAGTGCGTACGAGCCAGCCACACACGACACAAGTCGGCAAGCACTTTCTCTCGCGGCCTCGCCGCTGCACCGCCTTGGCATCTCTTGGTCGCGGCATCACCCAATCACAGTCAGCCGTGTGTGTGCACGTCAGCGTGATTGTGGTTGCATAGTGCGCGTATAAAAAAGGCCATGCGCTTGTGCTCACATGGTCAGGCATACATACATAGAGCCCCTAGCGAAGGCCTCTCCCCGCTGCCGACTGCAGGCTCCAAGAAACACGAGGAGCGGATCGATCCAGGGGACTAGTCTAGTTAACCGTTAACAACTTCTCGTTTCCACCATACACACAGTAGCTTTTCGTCCGGGAGAAGCAAGCATAGCAAGATCTGGCTAGCTTCTTGGGGCCGGCCAGCCGAGTTCAGGTATGTATGTGTGGCCATCGTCGCCAGTTCCTCCTTCACCGAATTGAGCTTGCCCTTTTTTCTTAAATTCTCTAGCTTGTTTTGAGATACGATTCCTTCTCTTTTAGCTTCACAATTAAGTTGAATTCAACCGCTTCCACATGCATATAGAAAGATTAGGTTAGATTAGATTGCCCGATTACTTTCCTCAAGAATATGTAAGCATGCAGCAGGGTAGCCAAATTAAGCTTAATAACGGTGCCAGGAAGAACCTCTCCAACCCAACAATTGTGTGTTTTTCCTTCTTCCATCCATCCATGGAGCTTACATACCTCAGCTACGAACAAAAATAGCAGGATATGTTCTTACCCAAGAGCAGCGTTTCCTTTCCATGAACCGCCCGTTTGCAGTATTACTCCAAAAGAAGCCGCTGTTAGCTAATTAATCAGGAGCTATAGCTAGATAAACCAGTTAACTAGTTACGCTAAATCGTGATGAGGCATGCTTGTCAGGATAGGGATAGTGTTAGGTGTCCCCGTTTACCCACCAAATTGTGTTGCGCGGATGATATATAAACGTAACTGTCCTTGGACTATGCATGCAATCGTGGCCCTGTCAGATGTTGACGCTTTTGATGGAATCGGTTCATCGGTCGGTGTCACACGCGGCCGTAACAACAGTGACCAAAGTGTTCCACTCCATCTTCTTCTCCTCGATCAATTGTATTGTTTCCTTCTTTCCGTGTGGCGTCGTGTCCTGCTGTTGTAGGACTAGCGTTGCTGGTGGCGATCCGTCTGGAAGCATGCACGCATCATGGAGCTCGAATAATGCCGCAGGCCCGCATATACCATGCCATGTTTTCCGGAAAATAATACTCCCTCCGTCTGAAAAAGCTTGTCCAAACCTTATTTCTCAAATGCATGTATGTAACACTAACTTGATGCTGAATAAATTCATTTGAGGGGTAATCTTTTTCGGACGGAGGGAATAACCACTCACGATAATTCATGGTCTTTCTGAAGTCTCCTTACGGCTGGAATATTACTTTTATGGACAGATTACAAAATTTCATTTTTTGCATAGGTATATGTTCTGACATATCTGCTCCAATGTTTGCATAGGTGTTTGCATCGTCGCACGCAGGAAGAGGCTCCAAATGTTGCGCGAGAGATGGCAGGGACGCGTTTTTACCCTCGTCCTTCTTCTTCTCTCCAACGCGGCGTCAGGTATGTGACTACGTTTGTGCTCCGGCTTCAGCACGGGGTTGCCGGTGCAGGGTTCCATTCTGGATCTCCTTTCTGTCGCCCAAGATTCGTTACTTAACTGGACATACGTTCCCGGACGTACGTACGTACGTAGAGCATCGTAGAAAGCAGGAAAGCATGACAGAAAGGATGTAACATGGCGGCACTACATGAGGTGGCGTCTTTTCCCAAAGACGCGACGGCACGGCACACAGACAGACAGAGTTCTATTTTCATTTTCGTTTTCTTGAAAGCGTGCAGCAGCACAAAGGGACTTTCTAAGCTGCGATGCTTGTGCGTTCCCCTTTCAAGACTCTTATCTTGCGTTGAGTCATGAGCAAAAAAGCAGAAGCAGACGCGACACGCGTACTACAAGAGCTAGCTCATCGGTTGTGGCCTCGTGTCCAAGAAACTGAATGATGCGCCTACCTAACTATCTTACGTACTACTCCTTCCGTTCTTTTTTTTAGGGAAGGCCTGGCTAGCTTTATTAAAATTAAACAGTGTTTACATCGTCTATGAGCTTACGAACAACACAAACACAGTCAAAAGGCTCATCCAACCAACTGAAAAAAGATTTATTACAGAAACAAAAATTAGCTAGTGCATGAGCTGCTTGATTACAAAAACGATAACAATGCTTACAAATGACCTTCCCGATCAACGAACTAGTATACACACGTTCCATGAAGATTGCCGCCGATGAGTCCCACCATCTAGTTTGACCATTACAGAAGTTAATAACCTGTAGGGAGTCTGATTCCGCTTCCAACCGATTGAATCCAAGAGAATTAGCAAAAACTAGACCGTCTCTCATTACCAAAGCTTCTGTAGTGATCGCATCTGCAACGAAAGGGATAAATTTGCATTGTGCCGCCACAAAGTTTCCTCTAACATCCTGTAGTATGGCCGCTGTAGCCCCCGCACCTTCATCTGGATAAAAAGTTGCATCAACATTCAATTTAATAAATTGAGGGTCTGGCTTACTCCATTTTGCTTCAGCGAAACTAGGGGTGAGCGATGACGCCCTCTTATGATTGCTCGCAATGGATAGCACTGACAACGCCCATCTCCATTGTGGTGGAACCGATTCATTATGCGTTATTTGTCTCTGATCCACCATAGGTACCAACCTCCCACGGCTATAACCTGTTTGAAGTTCAAAGATGGATGCATAGCTACTTGTTGATCCGGCAGTGAGAGTATATATTCAAAGATGGCCGAACCTGATCTGTCAACATGTATCGCTTGGTCAATGATATGAGTTAACCCAAGATGGGACCATGCATTAGTGCACAAGAATAGCAGATGTCGGATGTCCTCGGCGCCTTGATGACAGATGGGGCATGCACCATTTGAACCAACATGCCTATTAGTAAGGATAGCTCGAAGCGGAATAATTCCTCGCAAAATTCTCCAACCAAAAATCTGCACTTTACGTGGACATTGCAGCTTCCAGAGAGTACTCCATACAGTCAAAGGGGTGGATCCACTTGGGCGCCCCATCATATTTGCATGCCCCCGAAAAGTATGCCTTCCGTTCTTAAATACATAAGTCTTTTTAAAGATTCCATTATAGACTACATACCAATGGCGTAGCCAGCCCAATAAACCAAGGTGGTCCATCAATAATTTCTATTTACATAAGTTTATTTATTTACAAAGAAATATTTTTTTACTACACTATATACAAGCTATGGGGAAATTCCAGGGTGGCCCATGGACCACCCTAGCCACCCTTTAGCTACCCCACTGCTACATATGGAGTAAAATGAATGAATCTACACTTTAAAATAGTCTATATACATCTGTATATAGTTTGTAGTGGAATCTCTAAAAGACTTATGTATTTAAGAAACGGAGGGATGTAAAAGCTTTTAACTTCAGTTATCCCTAATTATATTTGCCACTCAAGCACTGAACAGACTGAAACCTGAAGCCATGCGTGGCCGTAACGTGCAGCTAATACGAAGACGCTCCAATGATGCGGTCAAACGAGAAAAATCTTTACTACACACTGGCAGTCACTGGCAAGTGCCAACTGAACTCAAATTTACCTTGATGATGGGCAGGCACTTCTCTGAGGGACGACACGATGCTCCCCTCGGAGGCCGAGAATTCTCCGTCAGACTTGGCAAAACTCGTGCAGTCTAAGCAGACCAAGCAGGCGCGCGTGTGCGGCGGAGCAGACCACCGGCTGCTGCGATCCCTGGCCAACACCGGAGCGGAGGTCATGGTCACCGTCCCCAACTCGCGGCTGCACCACATGGCGGAGTTCAAGGAGGAGGCCCAGCTCTGGGTCGCCGCCAACGTGGCGCCGTTCCTTCCGGCGACCATGATCACGCACGTCCTGGCGGGAGACGACGTCCTGTCAAGCTCTCCCGGGGCCGCCTACTCGCTGGTCCCCGCCATGCTGAACCTCCACGCCGCGCTCGCCGCCGCCCGCCTCGACGGCCGCGTCAGGGTGTCCACCGCGCTGTCGTCGGTCCCGCTCGCCCCGTCCTGGCACGCCGGCGTCGCGGGGCACCTCCTGCGGTTCCTCAGCGACACCGGCTCGCCGCTCTTCCTCAAGCAGGCCCGCGCACGGGAGGCCGCCGCCGACGACGACGCGTACGCCGCGATGCGGGCGCTCGGCTTCTCGGGCGTCCCGCTGATCGCCGCGGAGCCCGAGGGGCTCGGCGGCGCGGTGGTGTACCGCGGCCACTTGCGTCATGCTGCCGGTGGGGGCGGCGGGAGGCGGTCGCTGGCGGCGGGGACGTTCTGCGTGGCGCTGCAGAACGCGGACCCGGCGGCGCTGCAGGCGGGGCTGAGCTGGGCGTGCGGGCAGGGCCAGGCCGACTGCTCGGCGATCCAGCCCGGCGGGGCCTGCTACAGGCAGAACAACCTGGCGGCGCTGGCCTCCTACGCCTACAACGACTACTACCAGAAGGGCGCCAGCACCGGCGCCACCTGCTCCTTCAACGGCACCGCCACCACCACCGCCACCGACCCCAGTAAGCATGCAGTCTGGCACAGCTTCTTCCATCTCCTGTACCGCCATGGATGTATGTTCTCTGATTCTTTCATGGTGATCGCTCCTTGCAGGCTCGGGATCGTGCGTCTTCGCGGGAAGGTGAGCGTCATTTCTCGCGACACTCAGCATACTTTTGCTCCAAGATCATTTCACAAGTCTGACACGGTATCAATTTCGTGCATGCTTGCAGCACCATGGCAGGGGGCTCCAACTCGAGCGTGCCGAGCGCCAGCCCTCCGACGAGCCTCGCGCCTCCGGTCGGCTCCAGCCCTCCGTCCGACTTCGGGCCCCCTCCGACCGGCTTCGGCCCTCCCGCGGGTGGCTTCGGTCCGCCGTCTGGGTTCGGCCCACCGTCTGGCTTCGGTCCCCCGTCGGCGTTCGGCCCGCCGGGGAGCTTCAACGGGAGCGGGACCTTCGGGCCGAGCGGCACCCTCGAGCCTTACGGCACCGGATGCCGCCACGTCGCCTCTTTGGCCGCCTCCACTCTCCTGTCCGCCATTGTTCTTGCCGTCCTCGTCGCGTCGCCCGATCTGATGTAAATTATGTGAGTGTGTATTTGAATTAGCTATAGAGAGATCACGCCCGTTCTTGTCGGGTGTCACCCTGTCGCCCTGACAACTCCATACTAGTAACATGTACTATTAGCAGCGTTGTAAAATATACTACAGCACAATCAGAACAATATCGATATACGATATACAGGCGAACATACCGATTAAATTGTCGACACAATTCGATGTACTCATTAGTAACGGATTAAATTGTTAGACAATTTGATGTAGTACTCATTAGCATACTCGCAGTCATGAGCAAACTGAACTCTGTCCACTGTGTCCAACACATGCAGTTGTAGCAGTACCAGGTACAGAGATTGGCAGGCATACCACAAGATCGCAATCGCGTCGACTGGTTACATACTCTTAGTTAACCTACTGCTTGTGGTTGAACAAAACGCCATTAACGCACTCTCACTGTCTCTACCTTACCCGGCGAGCGCGATACTCATCGTCGGATCAAGGCACACAAGATAAACTCCGGGTTAATGCTAGATTGCCACACCGCTACTACAAGACCAACACGGCGGAATAGTCTGAGTTCGGCATCCGCATTAGCACTACTCTGACTTTGGTGACTCTGTGCTTGAGCTTGCAGCACAGCCTTGTTCCGGTGTCTCCTTCTCAGTCCCGCTGTTTCCAATGCCTGTCCAATATGGCAATATATCAAAATATGAAGTGTATTCAACTGTGGACATTAAACAGCATACGAATAAACAGGAACAGAAGGTAGGCCTTAGCATCGGCAACGCTCGGTGCATCGCTTGCAGGAAAAGCACGGTTAGGGAAACTGAGATGAAATATCAAAGCTTAAACCAAACCACATTGACAAAAGCATGTAAACAAAGAGAAGTGGGTACTTAGAAAAATAAACTTAAAGCTCTAGAACAGTGTGTAGCTTCAGAACCTCACAAATTACCAAGTATAGCATATACCAAATCTCTACTAAAAACTCACGGTTGCAGTAGCAGCATTAAACTAACTTTACTCTGTGTATCTTCCGTCATATAAACGATCTTGTGATTGGCAGGGGGTCACATGGAACAGTATACAAAGGCAAAGTTCCACCATACAAACGCAACAGTGAAGGTTTCTTATAAGCTCCCTAAAGAGCTGCGGAACTCAGCCGCTACTGCATGAGGTATTCTATTTTACTAGTATAATTTAGTTGCCAACAAAGAAATGTAAGAAAAATAAATGTTCTTCTCTAGCTGCTCATTACCAAGGGGAGATTTTTAACAAAGAGAATTGACAGATTTTAAGATATTCCCAAGTTAATATGAGACACTAATTTTGCATGATCCAATGACGCATATCTACTGTTACCCCTTCATTGGTAAGGACCCATAAATGACTATTCCTCTGCAAACTGTAGTGATCTAAAACGTCTTATATTAGTTTATAGAGGGAGTATATTGTTATGCATATAAGAACGCAAATAGTATCACCATTAAAGCACAGTGGTAAGGAAAAACTAAATTATGATAATTCACAATTTTCAATTTTTATACTTTTCTCGTATTTGATTTCTGTATGGTATCGATTTAACCGTCTACGAGTGTATTGCCCTGATACATAATCACTTCCCTTGTTCTGTAAGTACATTTAACTTCTGCATGTTTACTAATAGGTTTCTGCTGCTGGGGAGTTAGTACCTGGAAGCCATAGTTATCCTGATTATATGTATACTAGTCATCAACCCGTGCAGGCGCACGGGCTAGCATTTTAAAAACATAAAATAAATATACATGAATAACATGTATTCCACGAAAAAGTATGGTAATTTGAAATGTAAAAGAAGACTTACACCACTTTGAGATATTATTATCAAAACATGCAGAAGTTTCCAATGTTATCCATAGACCCTTTAAGATTAACTTAGGGAAGAAACTAATTATGTTTCCCCTTTCTTTCCCATCGCCACTTCACATGAAAAAGCAGAAACATATGCATGCAGGTTATAGTGTTAGGAATCCATCTACACCAAACCCAGTATTACCCTGCTTCAAGGGAAGGAGATTAAAAATGCAATTTCTAACCGATGAAGCCTTGAGCTTTTACCTACTTTCCCTCCTCAACTTACATTGCACTGTGCCATCCAGACCACGCTGAAAGACGTCTCTTCTGCCGCGGATGCCTCCTCGTCGCTGTCGCTTGGGGGAGCGAGGAAGGTCTCGCAGTAACGATGCGGTTTTATCCAGAGTGGACGCTTCACCGTAGCGGCTAGGTGGGCAGGGATTGGGGGAAGCAGGAGGTACCGACGGTACAAGGGGTCGCACACCACCAGCTCCGGGAAGACCAGTCTGTGCCTATTATCGATGTCGTGCTGGGGGGCTCTGTCGAGGAGGACGCGGCCGCTGAGGACGTCCTGGACGCGCCAATCGGTGGCGGGGGCGGGGAGGAAGGAGAAGGAGAAGTCGGCAGCTAGGGCCGCGGCGCCGGCTGCCGGCGCGGAGGGGTGAGGCGGGACCGCGGGGTAGAAGACCTTGCGTTCGTGGTCGAGGAGGCCGAGAAGGGGCGGAGCGTGGAGCTTGCGGTACTGCCGGAGGAAGGAGCGGTCGGCAATGAGGCGGCGGAAGGAGACGCAGGCGGCGGAGGCGCGGAGAAGGTCGGCTGGGTTGGGAATGCGGAGGAATATCTCCACCGATAGCTCGTCGGGGATTGGCAGCGAGGCCATTTCCTGGGGTCGAGGATGGGGCTCGCGCTCATCCGCCGCGCCGTCGACCATCGCGTCGCCGGAATCGGAAACCCTAGTTTTTGTTTGGTTTTGGTGAGAGAGAGTGTGAGTCCCGTGGGTGAGGATTTGGGGGAGAAGGATGTATGCACTTGTCGCAGCAATTTGGACATTTCGAGGCCCTTTCTGCAAATGACCCAACGGACGGAGGTGAGGTGCCTGCACAGTTCAATCCTGTCCCTTGCTTTCACATCAAACGGCCAAAATCTCTCCAAAGAAATTAACTTCATTGTACAGGATAGCTCAGTTTTCTTTTTCAGTTTGGGTCTGATTTTTTTTTCGGGATGAAAGGGAGTTTTATTCCAAAATTATAGGGTTACAATCCCAAGCCAACTCCTCACAACATGGAAGACTCGAGTTCAATCATACCGCAGTACAACACTCGGTACGGCTATAATGTGCCAAGAAATGTGATACCATATTCTTCTCTCTACCAATTTTACAAGGAACAAACTCCCTAACATCCAGGTGAGCCTTAATCTCAGCGTCAAGATGACTATAGGCTGATCTGGATAGTGTGTCACCGGTAAGAGTTGCCAATGCATTTGAAGAATCCGATTGAACCATCACCGACTTATTTGAATGTTGGATGGCCGAAGCCATGCCTTGCATGATTGCATGCATTTCCGCTTTAAGGGCGTCTTTACAATGAAAGATGTACCTATATGCCGCAAAAATCATAGAACCATCATCGTTCCGCAGTACCATTCCGGCAGAAGCGCGCCTGTCCCAGCTCGAAAAAGAATCATCAACAGAGAGGGCTACCCAACCAGCTGGAGGCCGAGGCCATGGTACAGGTGTTGACAACCGTTTACTACTCACCACACGGCTTCCTCCGAAATTGGCATCTTCCCTTTTTATTATTTCTTTCGTAGTAAAATTTCTTGCTAAATGAAGCGACTTGTAATAGCTATCCAAATAGTCAACTGTAGCATGAATCGAGGTCTCACCCTTTTCATGAGCCATGTCGTTCTGTAGCTGCCATATTTGCCAAATGGTCATAATCACTAAGTCCCTAGTATGTTCTGAACACTTTAATAGCAGTTGCAAGAGCCAATCCTTCCCTGAATCAATTAGTAGTGCATCATCAGGCAATGACCAAATCTTGCGTAGACCTTCCCAGACTTGCCGAGCATGCATGCATGTTATAATGGCATGAAAACTACTCTCTTTCTCCTTGCCACATACCGGACAAGAACAACATGCTGATATATGACGTTGAACCTTGCCCAAATTAGTAGCTAATGCCCCGCTCGCCGCCTTCCATGCTAATATGCGCATCTTTAAAGGTGCCCGAGACTTCCATATAGAATTCGAAATTGTCCGGTCGCCGTCCGGCCTGTTACTGCTAGCGTCACCAGCATGAATATCATCGTGTGATTCTGTAGCTAGCTTGTATACTGATTTAACCGTGAAAATACCGTGAGGTTCAGAAAACCAGCCAATAAAATCTTGTCTATTCCTTGGAGAGGTACGAATTTCCAGAATCTCTATAACATCCATCGGCCAAAAGTGCTCCTCGATCCGCTCCACCATCCACGCTCCATTTCAGTCTAAGAAATCGGACGCTCGGTTAAACCGGCAGTTCCTTTTAGGGGTGATAGGACGAAAATCATATCGTCGAGGAATCCATGGATACCTCCATGTCCTCACCGATGCACCATCCCCAACCCTCCAAATAATACCCCTCTTAACAAGCTCTAGTCCATGCGCAATTCTCTTCCAAACCGCGGACGAATTTCCAGTAAATACTGTATCCAAGATGCTGTCATAAGGATAATATTTAGCTTTTAATATGTGTGCACATAGACTATCAGGGAACTCAATCAGTCTTCAAGCTTGCTTGGCTAGCAATGCTTGGTTAAAAGCGCGCATGTCCCTGAATCCCATGCCATCATTACTCTTCGGCAGCCTCAGTTTATCCCAACTTAGCCAAGCCATCTTCCTTTTGCCTCTTTCCACACCCCACCAATACTGCCTCATCAACTTAGTAAGATCATCACAAACGATACAGGTAAGCGAAAAACACTCATAACATATGTAGGGATTGCTTGTGCCACTGATTTATTAATATTTCCTTATTACCAGAGGACAAAAATTGCTCGCTCCAATCAACTAGTCTCTTCTTTAATCTTTCTTGAGTAGTTTCAAACCTCCCCTTATACATTCTCCCTTCTGGGACCGGCAACCCTAAATATTTGGGTTCGAAAGCTTCACTTGTTATCTCCAGAATACGTTTAACCTCCACCGATATCATCTCATTGCAATTACTAGAGA